GTCACACCCAGGGCTATGGTCCCCAGGGCCAATGGCTGTGAGAGCATCCTCACACCTGTGCAGGACAGCACACCTGTGTCACACCCAGGGCTATGAAATTTTTTTACCCATTAATATTTGCAGAATTCTGAGTGTCTAAAATCCTTTTAGAAAGACTGTGGTGTGTGAACTCTTCCTATGACGACAGGAGATTTAAGTGCAGTTAAATGTAAACATAGAGGGTTTGCTGTGATTACTTTGATGACTACTTTAACTGAGGTTATGTGAAAAGGTAAAATCACGTCTCTGAAGTCGTTGCTTATCCAGTTGATTATGGGGAACTCCCTCTGAGTTCAGGCAATAAAAATAGGAATAATGCCTTCAGATACTGCTTCGTATTGAAACCTTCAGGAACATCCCTGTTAAAAGCGTAACTGTGCAAAGGCGACAGTTTCTGCAGAAATTTCTCAGTCTCTGTCCCATTTCTCAGCAGAAAGGACAGCCACACGTGCTGCCCCAGTGCTTAAACATGAACCCATTTCCGACTGTCTCCCACGAGATCACCTCATCACTCGGACTAATTAAGCAGGAAGGAATCAATAGCTCCATAAGGTCACCGACTGTGGGCAGGGAGCGCGGCGGAACAACGCATTACAGTTAAATATTGTGATGTACCACGGGTCAGAGAGGCAGGAAAACGACAGTGAATTATGTCAGTGACCTTTCTTCCTGCAGCCAAGGCAGGGAATAAATCTGCTCCTGCTTGCTGGAGGCTGACACGGCCCCTGGCTACCCCGAGCCCATGGATATCGTGGTGCCAAGACCAGCACTTACAATGGAGAGTCACAGCAGCAGAGCTAAGCTGAGCCTGGTCTTGACATCTTCCCAAAAGATATGGCCAGGTCCAGTCTGACCCTCGGCCGGAGCTCAGGAGAGCACCTGGTCAGGGTTCCTGTCTGTCACAGCCACCTCACGGAGCCGTGGTGTTTGTGAAGGAGAAGCCCGTGCCTTGCTGTGCTGCACAGCTGAAGCGCAGCACGGGAACCAACTGGGCTTGAAACGAGCCCCTGGGCTGGAGCCTCGCCCACAGCTCACGTGGGAAGCCAGAGACAGACCCTCAAAGGGCCTTGGAAGAGTATTGCAGCTCCCTCAGGAGCTGCCTGAGAGCAAGCTGCAGCAGGTGAGCGCTGTCCTGCAGCAGGGCCCGGGGACAGGTGAGGGGACAGCAGTGGGGATGTCTGAGCTGCAGCTGGGAGCACCTGCTCGTCTGAGGCTGCAACACAGGATGTAACCAAAAGCATGTACACTCTGGCCATATGGAGCAGTGATCCTTACCTCTGTGGGAGATATCCTCTGCTAATGGAACACCTGTTAAACCAGGTGAGGCTTTTATCTTTATCTTTTCCACAGCCCATCCTCCCTCCAGGAGATATCTC